CTGGATATGTCCAATTTTACGACATTCAAAACATTTAGCATTACGAAATACACAATAATTACGTGAGTGAAGTTTACCACAGAACAAACATTTACCGAACTTGTGCGCACCACTGTAACGTGCCTAGCAAGTCCTCAATCTATTGTTATCTGCAAGATATTGAGTATACATTCGATTGGGATAACTAAGTAATGTAGTAGAATTCCTAATGTTCTGGAGTCGATTTCATTCACTGTCCCATAATTTATAAACACAGTTTTAGCATCTTGAAAGTATTACTTCGTCATTTGCATAAGGTCTCTTTCCATATTTAGTCGGTTAATTCTTGTAATCAATCCTTCATGCAGCTGGACATGAGGTGCTGACAAGATTACACTTGACAGGTTGTTTCTGCAACTCAAAAAATTCCCTAACCTTTTGGTTATTTTGACGAATCATCTTATGAAATTTTGCCCTTTCACGGCATTCGAAATGAATGCACTTTATGTGATTTGATAGTAGTGATATGTAGAACCAATCAGTAATCTAATGAAAAGGTCATTGGCAATCAGAAGTAGCTTCAAGGTCAAGTGCGTTTCATTGGAGTCAATTTACTGGTTTATATATGAATGAGTATTTGTTCATTTCACTCAGTAGCCCAATATACTTTCTCGCTCACACTTGTTTTCTCACCCATGTAGTCAATAAAGAGGTTAGCACGTAGCGAACCGTGTATCAGTAACAGGTCTCGGACACCGCACGTCACAACATGTTGCTCTTTGAGTGTTGCATAGGGAAATAAATAGGCTTAACTGGGAATGCCAAAGTTTTTAGCAAGTTGAAATTATCATTTTCAACGAATATGAAGAGATGCTCCACAAATTTATCACCCTTAACATCTTCCCTGGTCATACACCCGATTTTGAACCTTCCTATGTAATTTTTGAAAACTTCAGAATTTGAATGTATATTCATCTATTAAATCACAGGCTTCATTGCAGCGCCAATATGATGATTAGAGGTATTCAACTTAATGTACCAACTACTAATTCCCGACACATCGCCATTCAAGCCAGGTAGAGCTAGATGAGCAAATGTTCTACGCACCTGTTCCACTGCTTTTAAATCTCAGTGACTGGTTTGCCTTGATTGTTCTTGACTATTCCCTCTGGTTTGCAATATTTCCCTGCAAGTTTCCTCGTTATAACATATTTAGTTCTCTTGCAGATTTTTTTCACTGTCAATGCTAGATACTTTACGTATCTTTGCTTGTAAACTCTTATGCTTATCTTCATTCATTCATTTGCTTTTGTGTATTCGGCGATTTCCTTGGCTTCCTCTGCTCTGTTCTTCCTCAGCATATCAACAAAGACCCATACTATATGCTGGTTCTTCTTAAGAGCCAGTACCTTCTGGTACGTTAAAAGCAGTGCTTCTTTAATCTGTTTCCCGTTGTACTCCATTGTATTTCTATTGTAATTTATGGCTTTTTTTATGAAGTAAAATAAAATCACAGCAGGATCGCCACTGGCTCTACTCTGAGCCGTATCTGATGACGTCCCTAGCCACTGTGTTGCAGCATATCTAGAACTACACCCAGGAAGTCGTGAAGGACCAACAGAAACCAGTCCTGTACAATGTTCTTTCATATCACGAGATCATGTCATACATTAACCATAGTTCCGCCTTTCCTAACCAGTCCCAGAGTCGGCAAATAATGCACGACGTGGAATTCTCTGTGACGACAGTCGTAGAACATTTCCAAGCCACCGAAGTGTGTGTTTCAAGATGGTGACACCAATTGCATTATCATCTCTGTGCCCGAACACACGATGCCGAACCTCTGTATTACTAACACGGTGTTGCCACTGAATGTCAGCAATCCTTCGGAGACAACGATGATCCTCAACTCGGAGAGGCCAGGTTTCACAAGCATAGAGCAAAACTGCTCTCACCGACGCGTTGTAGATCCGAACTTCTTTTTGGAGTGATCCAGAAAATTGCTTGCACATGACAAGCAAGCATCAGGAAACACTAAGAAGCGTTTCGTCCAATCAGCGTTCACTTGGAGTCTTGGCCAGAAATATCAAGGAAGCGGAGCGTCACATGCAGAGGCTCTGATTGGTTGGCTGCTACACTGCTTCTATGTTTGGTAGCATTCCAGAATATTTCAGCGACCCAAGGACATTTAAAATATTATAAAAACCCTATATTTTTTGTATTAGAATGAACCTTGGAGTAAACTACTTCTCGCATACTTTGATTCTTCACTCTCGTGTTCAGGTCGCTGTATAGTTCTAGCTCGGGGGTTACGAAATAGATTAGGAGACGAATAAAGCGTTTAATCCGCAAGACTTATCACTTTTACAGCCAGATTAACATAACGAAGGCGCCAAAGATGGAATAGATTGGCATAAGCCGCTCTTGCCCTTACTATACGTGGATCTCATTGACATTGTAATTATAAAACCATAGTACAATAACGTAAACAGATTCCGAAGCAAACACCTAATATCTAAATGGAGTAGTTCAATATCTACCAAAACCAGACTGATCGATGTGAAGATGGCACAGGCATCCAGTGTTTGACAACACTTTTACCAGTAACACCTAATATAACTCGTACCCACCAAGAGAAATCAAAAAAAAGAATCGAGATCAGAAGCTGTAATTGACGATTGCCAATATATCGGAATTGTCTGATCTAGTCTGGCTAGCGATTGCAGTAGATGTTGAGCACGGCGTTTCCACACGTGATCTGGTGCGAATGCATGACCGAGCGCCTTCAGCTAGGTGAGTCCACTAAAACTAATCTGGTCAGCATCCAATGTCGAGAACTTACAGAGCTATTTATTTTGGGGATTTATTTGCCTCTGCAGATGCTTCTAGAGAATGTACTTATGCTTATATTAGATAGATGTCGAATGATTCACTAAAATCTCAAATTACTTAGCAACTTTGATTTCACTATAGTTATAGAATTCTTCAGGTATGCTAATTTGCTCTTTGACATTGACAGACGAAAAACCCAGCATACTATACCCATTGTATATGGTACTCTATGATTTGGACCTACTACAGTATTGATCTAAACTTTCAGTCAATGTTGGACAAGTAAGTGAATCACAATCAGATACTCATAAAATGTCCATGAGTAACATTTCGCAACACAATCGACGATGTAAGTGGACTTACTGTCAGGGAACATTGTAGAGTATATGATCAAATTTGGTAACATGCTCCCCAGACACCTCCTAATGAATTCCATCTAAGTGCAAAAATTTATATCTACCTCCATGAACTCATTGCTAGACAGTTACGTATACATTTTTGACCATAGTTCTAAATGATATGTTTGCTAGACATTGAATTAAGCATATAATACCGAAAAGATCTTAAAGAAAGTCATAATGTAGTGAACAAGAGCTGAGGAATAGCAATTAACTGTTTAATACCGAATTACGGAGTGAGTTCGAGAAATATGGAAATTATACACATATTCCTTTACACACTCCACTACTTCTACAATTCTATTATTGTTTGGATCGCTCTCAGATTTCTTTCCTGTCCTCTTAATTACAATCTTCTGCTACAAGATATTCTATTTTCGTTTGGTGTTACATACTACTTGTATCTGTAAAAATATGTAGTGAACACCAAAAAAGTGAACAAAATTGAAATAATCGAATTCCTTAATGATGTACTATATTTTTCAAGCTAATTAAATACAGTGACGATGAATATTAATTATCAGTAAGTATTTAAAACTCAGTGTTTAGGTTTCACCTTACAAAATAATTAATGTTTTAACTTATATTGGTTAGAACTTAAACGTACGTAAATAATAGTAACTTAACTTCTTTATGAATTTCGAATCATTAACTTAAATTGATTAAAGGAAAGTTCTACTATCTTGATTTATTATCGTGCCCAAGAAATGACCTAACTATTCTAATGGGAGATCTAAATGCCAAAGTCGGAATAGACAAAACTTGATATGAAGATATTATGGGACGACATGGACTGGGACAGAGAAACGAAAATGGAGAAAGATTTGCAAATCTATGTGCATTCAACAAATTGGTCATAGGAGGCACAGTATTTCCACACAAGCGTATACACAAGGCTACATGGATCTCACCGGACCACACTACAGAGAACCAAATAGATCATATTTGCATCAACAAAAAATCCCGAAGGACAATGGAAGATGTGAGAACCAGGAGAGGCGCTGACATAGCTTCAGATCACCACCTAGTTGTGTCCAATTTAAAACTGAAGCTAAAAAAGAACTGGACAAGTGGACAAACAGCACTACAAAGGTTCAATACAGCCTTCCTTCGAGATACTGACAGAATCAATGAATTAAAGATAACTCTCAACAACAGGTTCCGAGCCTTACAAGATCTACTGAAGCAAGAAACTAGTATGGAAGACAACTGGAAAGGTATCGATGAAGCATTGACTTCAATGTGTCAAGAGGTTCTGGGCCTAAAGAAACACCATCATAAGGAGTGGATCTCTATAGAAACACTGAACAAGATCAAAGAAAGAAAGAACAAGAAGACAGAAATTAACAACAGTCAAACACAAGCAGAGAAAGTCCAAGCACAAGCTGAATACACAGAAGCAAACAAGCAAGTGAAGAGGAGCATTAGAGCCAACAAGAAGAAGTACGTGGAAGAACTAGCGACGACGGCGGAAAAAGCTGCTAGGGAAGGAAAGGTGTTCTGGACTTAACTGGCTGGGTTAGGCACGAAGCAGGACCAATCAAGACTCTAGACTGCTCGTACGGGTTCTATGCGTCATTGGTCCGATCGATAAGTCACTGCTCTCTAATTGGTGGTATCGTTACACTATACATTCGCATGGCACACAGCCCACAAGATATAACAATCATAAAATAACAAAATAGTTGATATGAAGCAATAGTAAAGTTAAGCCACTACATTTAAATATATTTATTTAAGAGAAATCAAAATAATGACAATCGGTATAAAAGTGTATATATAGATATATACGACAGAAGTGAAGCGGATAAAATTACATAAAATTATTTAAAAGAAAAGAATCAAGTTAAAACATATCTTATTCGACAAAGATTTAAGTTCTCTTTTGTTGCATTTAAAAATTTGTACGGTATACCTGAAACAAAAAGATTGATCAGAGAATGAACAAATGTCAGAGAAAAAGGAACAAAATTGATAAATTTTTAGCTCTTGAAAACTATATAATTTAAGTCTAAGAGTGATCTTACTGAACTGTAAATATTATGTTTTTGAACAGATTAGTAAATAGACACTTATGTAGACAGGAAGTGTGGAAAACAATTGGATAACCTATCATCTCAGTATGGTTGTGAATGGATACAACTTAAGTCATTCTCATAAAGTGTTCTTCATTGTTTGGTGAGTTAAGTTTTCACTATGATCAAGTTATATATATCTTATCAATGGGATATAATGTATAACGAATGTATAGTCATTTTTAATTCAAGGTAATGATTAAATAAAGAGGGAGAAATGATTCATTTTAAAGTAATTAATAAATTCTAGCTGTGAACAGTAAAATAAAATTAAACAGAATAATACATGATTATTTTTATGATCAGAACTTACCTTTTGGAATATATACGATACAAGGTTTTGTTAAAGGAATGGCAAATTTCGCAATCTGTACAGCATAAAGACTGTAAGAACTGTTATTATTCATAAGAACAGGAGGACTTGACATCATTTTGAATACATTTATGGCGTTCGGATCATAATGAAGTTGACGTCTTTCTTGTTCCTTACTGACAATCCTCGTCAGATTTGCATTCATTTCAAAACAAGGTATACGAGTCTTAGTTCTACTTGGAAAAGCACCAGATAAAGCTGGAACTACGTAACTCGAGTATTCCATAGTAGAAAATTTGAATGGAGAAAATTGTGCATTTTCTGGATATATCACCTCTATAATTGGGGATAAAATCACTACCCATTACTGCTTATATCAGATTTAAAAGTTATTACAAAAACGAACAGACATTTTGTTTTACGAATGATAATCGGAGGAACTAAGATAGCCCATTACCATATGTTAAAATGACCTTCAGGTAACCGAAGTTAGGTGTGCTCAACAGACTAAGTAGATATGCCTAACTAAATGTTAATAACAAAATATTAATTTCATAATGATCGCCGAATGTTGATACTCACTGTAGTAAGAATATGGGACGATATCTTCTTGTAACTCAATATAATATCTTCAAGACAGTTCTCCAAACATCAAAATAAGCAGGGACAATTTAATTTTAATTACTAGTTTCACTACTTAAGAAAATATAGTAAATTCTAAGGCTAAATAATTCACCGATTAAATAAAAATAATATATTTGTAATATCCCAATGAGTAGAAAATTAGATTTTCTGACGTTTCGTGACTTAGTGTAAGTCACTTCTTCAGAGAATAAATAACCAAATTAAAATTAATCCAAGTTTAAATAGTACAACGGACTACTATTTAAACTTGGATTAATTTTAATTTGGTTATTTATTCTCTGAAGAAGTGACTTACACTAAGTCACGAAACGTCAGAAAATCTAATTTTCTACTCATTGGGATATCACAAATATATTATTTTTATTTATAACAATCAACTCAATGCTCAATTTATTCGAAATTATCAAATCAAACCTTGGTAATGATACCTAAAAATTCACCGATTAGTCCAAGAATCATCAAATATCCAAGCACAGATAATATCAGTTTTAGTTACACTTCTATTCAGTCTACTTTTGTCTAAGCAACTCTATCCATTTAATGTCCTTCCTATGTACGCCTTTTGTCGGTGACCCTGTGAATCAGATCTATGCTTATTTTTATCTCGAACTGTTGTCTATACTTCAATTGGTTATCTGTGATTTACACGCTTTTCGCCTCATAGAGGGATTGACATGCTCTGTACTCACTGATTTTAGATAAATATCCATATTCACCGATCATTCAGAGTTCATTTGCTCATCATATGCACACCTGAAATATACGTATCCTCAATACAAGTTGTATTTGACTTTTATTATCTACATTGTATTATAGTGATTGGTTAACAAAATGTATATGAAACTGAATATAAGATAAACATTTCATTAGCATCACGCAATTACCTCTGTCACTTTAATGAAGTCAATTCGGTGCTCAGTGCTCATTCCTTTATGACCTATCTTTCATAGCTTCAAAATAGTGCTTTTCTTATGAAAACTTGCTACAAAGCACCTTTCCTCTTTGATACTATTAAATACTTTATCCTTTTATTAACTTATTAGTGCCTAAATGAGGCACTTTTCCTCTCCCCTTTGCTAACATCGTAGAAAATGTGCTTAAATCCCATTCCTATTTATCCAACTAGTCTTCTTTGGCAAATATAGTCATATCCTCCAGTTAAGTTTAAAGTTTAAAAAATTGTCTACACTAACTGATGTGTGAGAGAAGAAAATAAGGATTGGTTATTTGCTTAGTTAGAATAGTAGATAGCCTGACAGGTATTAGATGAGTTATATATTTTTTCTACCCTTATTATTATTGTGATTGTTGTTGGTTTTCGATATGGAAATATACATACGTCCCAGTCAGGCTAGTCAGATGTTTTTGATCTGAGTTGTGTTGAAGTTCAGTAGAACAGATTGTTATAATTTGTGGTTTGAATGCTTATTGTCTTGGCTCTTTTAATGCTACTTTTTGTGTCTGGTCGTCGCTGATTGTTATGCCGGAAACGCTTATCATTCACACTCGGAACGGGGGACCTCTGTAATTCCCACGACGCGAAAGTAAGAACACAAAGACTGGCATAAGTGATGATTTATTAACCCCAAAACACTATGACGACGACTCTAGCAGAAAATACACTCATTTATATATTGATTGTAGACCCGTTTTGATTAATAATTAGGATGAAATCACAAATATGAAAAATACTTAGAGTTATAACAAATCACATACTGAGCATAGTTCATGTCAATGGGATACAAGAATATTGCATATTATACAGAATAAAATATCATACGAGAAAAGAAAACAAATACTACATTGAGCAATCATTACATTGAATCAAACGGAAGTAACCTTGAACAAAACTCATAATGAGTAAATCAATCGAAAATTGACTTTTTTTCCCATCATATCATAGATACTGGGAAGGTATCTAGTGCACATATTTGTCTAAGGTAAATTATGGTCCCATCATTGTAGACGGGGAAAAACCAAGCGTTATAACACTCATTAATTAGTGTAGTCTAGTATCCGTCCTTATCATTATTAATCACTTTTGTTTTAAAAATAGGTCATCATTGTATTTAAACAAAGTAGATTTGAAATAATCTCTGTCAATCAAACTTCTATTCGGCTATTTGTTTAAACGTTAATGAATGTTCACTGATTACTGAAATACAGATCACCTACCTATGCAATATAAAATATATTCTGCATATGAGAACGATAAAGCTAATTTACTCAAAGTAATATTAACGTTAGTTAGAACTTTTAGTCAAAATATGGTTGGTTAAGAAAAAAATATTATTCAACACTTAGTCTGTTATTTGACATACGTTGGAAAGGAGATGCATCATTGATCCCGATAGGCAACTGTGTTTCTGTATGTGATATCCATTCAACATCTGGATCCAATTGAATTCGCATACATGGATCTGTTTCAGGTTTTTGTGCACCTTTTTATAGAAAAATAGAAGTAGTGGTATAGTTGTTGAGATATTTTAGATTAAAATATTTAGTCATGAGCACATAAAACTTTATGGTAAAAGTTACTTTCAATTGACTATCAGACTCAGTTTCCTAGCTACCACCAAAGACTAGCTACACTTGACCCAACATACTAGTATCCAGTAACTGTAAAAAAATAATACAACCATAGGTTCAAAACGAAAAGAAACTTCAGGGTCCTATGATGCATCCAAAGTACGATGAAATATGATTATCTAGTATTGTGTACTTCATACAGTAAGCGATATTTCAGAATAAATTTACTGAATAGATCTTTGATTTAGTGCACACTTGATAAATAAGACAACATATAAACTGTGAAGAAATCAGAATACAGGCAAGATGAAAATAACCCATAATAGTTTAAAAAAAGTAACATTACAGAAAATATACAACAACAGATAAGTTAGTAATCTAAATATTATTATATTTGGCTCTTATAGTCACCTACCTTTCAGTGATCTGTAACGTTTGGCCAGTTTTTGAAGGCGTTTTGCTCGATTGATTTTCTCATTTCTTAAAAACTGAGTACGATTATTTTGACAACGTTTCAAACGATTGAGAAATTTTTGACGTCTGTTAATTTCATCTGGGTCAGGTAATATAGCTAATCCAATTGGTTTTTGATAAACTAAACCATATTCATCTTTATCCGGTTCATAAACAACTACTTTATTCCTATCATGTGTAGCTGGTACACGTAGTCGTTTACTACGTCTTAAATGGCCATCACTTTGTATAAAACTTTTAGTAGGAGGTCGTTTTGATTCTTGTAAAAAACAAAATTAACAAACAGGTCAGTGTCAACCAAAGAAAAAATAAAAATCAGCTCAACCCCGGTGGGGGTTGAGCTCAGGATCGTTAGTCTTGCGAGTAAACACGCTAACTAGATCAGACTAAAACAATACATGCACGTCAATGGATCCCGACTCAGTGATATATAGTTTAAGTGTTCGTCTATAAAGCCAAAAGTCTAAGAATCAATACCGATGAGATTGTGGATGTGTACTACTGACAAGTCTCATAATGAGACAAAACGGTTTCTTAGTGCTTCCTGGTTTTCGGTGGTGTTATGGCTTAAATCAGTTCGTGATCTAAATCATGAAGACTCTTCAATTTCTACAACCCCTAGTTTACTAGTTTATTATTTTAACACATACATATTGGTACAATAGTGCGCCAAATATATATGCGCTACACAAAACAATGAGAATTTAAAGAGAAGAAAAAAGAAAAAAGGTAAGGAGCGTAAAAAAAGAAAGAGATTGGTGTAAGGTAGTGTAGTAATAATAATAGTAATAATATGGGAAAGGAAAGGTACAATCAGAAGAAATCTTTCAGGTAAGGAAGATACAACCATTTTTTTATGAAGTAAAAGAAGGTTACAGCAGGATCGCCACTGGCTTCTATTCTGAGCCATCTCTGATAACGTCTCTAGCCACTGTGTAGCACCATCTCTAGGACCCCAACCAGGGAGTCGTGAAGGACCAACACAAGCCAGTCCTTTACAGCTTTCTTTCACACCACGACACTATGTCATGTACTGACCACCTCTCCGCTTCTTCCAACCAGTCCCAGAGCCGGCAAATAATGCACGACGTGGAATTCTCTGTGACGACAGTCGTAGAACATGTCCAAGCCACCGAAGTCGGTGTTTCAAGATGGTGACACCAATTGAATTATCATCTCTGTGCCCGAACACACGATGCCGAACCTCTGTATTACTAACACGGTGTTGCCACTGAATGTCAGCAATCCTTCGGAGACAGCGATGATCGAACACAGAGAGTCGTCTAACGTCCTCAACTCGGAGAGGCCAGGTTTCACAAGCATAGAGCAAAACTGCTCTCACCGACGCGTTATAGATCTGACCTTTTACAGCTAGACTAAAATCACGAAGGCGCCAAAGGTGGACCAGATTGGCATAAGCCGCTCTGGCTTTCACTATACGTGCATTAATCTCATCACTCACACCCCCATCAGCACTTATGCAGCTACCTAGATACACGAACTTCTCGACTATTTCTATCTGATCACCATCCAGGGTGAGTACAGGATTAGAATCCTGCCAGTCTTGTAGAAGTACTTTGCACTTCGAAGGTGCAAAGCACATACCATACCTACGGACACTGATTGCCAACTGATTAAGTGCGGATTGAATGCCTTGGGCATTATCGCACAGTAAGACAATATCATCCGCATACTCAAGGTCGAGAAGTCTTTCTTCAGGCAACAGATCCACACCACAATTACTTACATCTATCAGAGCTGTTTCCAGAATGTCGTCGATGGCGAAGTTGAAGAGGAATGATGAGATTGGGCAACCCTGCCTAACCCCACTGCTCGAATGGAACAATGAAGAAAGGTGGTTGTATGCCCTCACTCTACCTGAGGTGTTTGTATATAGGGCTTTCAGGATGTTAATAAACTTCTCAGGCACACCCTTCTTTAATAGACAATCCCAGAGAACAGTCCTATCCAACGAATCGAAGGCAACCCTGATGTCAAGAAACACTATGATTATTGACCTTTGATAAGTATGACAATGTTCTAACATTTGGCGGAGGGTGAAAATATGATCAGTACATCCTCGACTGGAACCAAAGCCAGCCTACTCCTCGCGAGTCAATCTTTCTCGGGTTTTGAACAACCTACGAAGTATGATGGGAGTCAATAGCTTGGACGCAATCAGAAGTAGATTTATCCCCCGATAGTTGTTACAGGAACGACGTGAACCCTTTTTTAAGATAGGGACAACTATCGACTCATTCCATGACGTTGGTACACTCTCTAGCTCCCAAACCTTTGTAAACAACGTCGTCAATTCCTTAGTCAGAAAGTCACCATCATCTTTAAAAAGAGCCTGAGGTAAGTCATCTGGGCCAGGTGAAATGTAACGCTTCAAGAGTTGGAGTTCCTTGCAGACATCCACCTCATTTGGTGAATCAGTCGTCACCGGCCATGGAGGGAAGAACAGTGTGACCGATGTTGCTGGAGCAGCAGGCCAGCTAAACTGCCCTTCGAAAAATTCTGCCCATCGTCCAAGACATCGATGGATGTTAGTGATTGGCGTTCCGTCATCCTCGCAGATTGTTTCGCTCACACCAGACTTCTTGCTGCCAGTGGCTCGGATGAGTTGGAAGAGCTTCCAGTAATTAACAAATGTAGCTGCTGCTTCCAGCTCATTAGCACGCTTCGACCACCAGGCTTCTCGGTCCTTACGCAAGCTTTGTCCAATTTCGCTACATAACAACCTTCGTTTGTGGTCAAACTCACGGTCACCCGGAGTAGACCGAGGGGCTTCAATGAGTTGTAAGGAACCTGAAGAAACCCAGTGCTTATAAGCGGGACGTTTTGTAAACCCACAGCTGACTGTACCCGCCATTTTCGTGGCGTCATGCAATTGCAACCAATGCTCATCTATACTTTTCGGTGGAATGGTAGCTAACCTAGAGGCTAGCTCGGTTCGATACTTATTTGCAACAGAAGTTGCAACAATCTTGCTAACATCAATGCGTTGTTGGCGGTCACTTCGTTAGCCACTGAAAAGTAAGGTAAGGTTGGCGCAGACCAAAGCGTGGTCAGAGTCCAGATAGGTATTCCAAAAGGAGCGGCAGTCTTGTACACAACCACGCCAGCGGTAGCTGATCGCGATGTGATCAATCTGAGTCCAGGCTTGGGATGCAGAGGGAGGACGCCAGGTGGCACATCGGCGATGACCGTGCCAAAAGTTAGTGCTAGCCAGAAACAGGTTGTGGCCTGTGCACAGTTGCAGTAGACGGTCCCCGTTATCTGACCTGCGACCAACGAGTCTCCATCGGCCACATAAACGACTCTCTTTTGTGCCTAGACGCCCGACCTGAGCATTCAAGTCTCCGGCTAGTACTACAATATCTGTCGAACGCACTTTCTGGAGAAGAACACTTAACTGGTGGTAAAACTCATCCTTGATTGCATATATGTATAACAATGAATTAATATTCCGTCACATAAGTGAGTCTTGTCACGACGAAACGTTGGAGTCTTATGTGAAGGTTCTAGGTGTACAAGGACAAAATAGTAAGAAGTTGCATGATAAGCTCATCTTTAAGAGGCGAATTCCAAACAGTTACCAGTAGGACAAAACCCTACCATTAAAACCTTCAATCGCTTTTTGACAGTTGGGACTTTAACTGATTCCTGATCCTGAAAATATCTTTCCTAAATAAGCTAACTATGATTAGTTTACATTAGATAAACTAAGACAATTAATTGTGTACATTGAAAGCAAAAAGTTGATGTGAATACATCATTATAAGCTAGAAAAGAAACATTCTAGTAATAAAATATAGAATATAATGAATTTTATAACAAACACTAGTCATCATGTCAGTCAGTCAGCTACAACGTAGGACCAAGCACATATATGCATCGGTCCAAGTTGCCACACCTCATTAGCACAACAAAATCAACACCAAGTTAATATGCACAGTTACTTCAATGGCAGTAAAAAATCAACACTTCATATAAGGATATGATACAGGGAGAAAGAATTAACGCCGTAGAAAGAAATACATAAAATGATTTTAATCTCACGCTTTAAGTGAAAAAAAGAGTGTATACACCTACGACATCGTGATCGATTCTCAATCATGTCACACAGAGTCTTCAACCATTGGTTACGATAAACGCATCAACCACAACCAGGTAGTCTGCATATACCAACATGGCTCAGACTAGAAGTTAGTAACTTCAAGGACTGATTCTATGTTTTGGTTTGGCCGCCCCTAACTTCCTTCCAATCATCCCCAACACTAGTCGGCATTGTGCGTCGTGGTAATCGGTGTTCAGGCATACGTAACACGTAGCCCAACCATCTCAGTCAGTAAAGATTTACAAAGTCATCATGTATTCAGGTCACAAATAAACTATCTTTTATTTTTCTCCTAAAAACGGTGAGCCTTATCTTAATGATGAATAAGATGATGAAATATAAGAAAAATAAGTAATCGACTAACTGAATGGTAAAAACTGGCAATCGTATGGAGTACACCACGGAAGTTTAATTCTTGATAACGGTAACGAGGAAGTGGATGGAGATGGATAATTTGAGTCTTGAATGCTAGATAACGCAGTCGATTCAAAAAAGGATCCAATATTCTCTTTATTTTCACTCTGAGTCTATGGTTGAAACAAAAATGAAAACATGAATAAATATATACGAACAATAGATGGTGATACTTCGTCAGTAACAGGAAATAAACAGATGGAGCACAAAAAATCGAACAACAGAAAAAGAATTGTAAATGGCTGATTCCATTGACTTCAAGTCATTGATACTACGTCACTCTTAATATAAGCTGGAAAAATTTAATTAGTGATTCATCTGGTCAATGCTTAATGAATATGTATACAAAAAACCAAACTAATCCAACATATTAAACACCAAATTCATCAAAAATGTACAAACTGATTATAATACGTAATGATCTGTCATTAGGATTGTTAAAATGTGAACAACAGAAATGGTCTTATTAAAAATGTCTAACAAAACCACTAACTAGTAAGCATATTCTTGTCTAGGATTGATCATAGTGAATGAAACGGATTCAATTACATGAAGTATATTTTGTAGCCATAAACTAGTAATCAGAAGAGTATCAAACATATCCGATTTGATGACTAGTTAGTTATTATTTGGTGAACTCGACTTAAAAAACAAACAAACAGATTGTCAAAACTAGGTCTTTTAGATAAGATTATACGATTGTAAAATTTAACTTATTTCTTACTGAGTGATGCCACCAAAACTTTTAATTTGAACGATAACAGGGAAATTGAACTTGTGAATTATATGACAAAATGATTCATCTAAAACACTTTGAATAATTCAATGCTAAAAGCAACGTTAACAGCACCAAATAAACTTAAATTTTCAGTCAATCGTGTTGACTTGTCAAATTATGTAGTTTATTTAATATAGGTGCGAGTAGATAATTCGATGAAGGACCAATTTAAAGCACAATATAATCGTAATTTTCAGTTAAATTCAATAATTTTAACTGGATAAATTCAATGATAAAAGATATTCGAGTAACTTGAACTAATTCTGATAATTAAGTTTCTCAAGAACTACATTTAACACGGAAACCATCAAGTTTTTCTAAAACTTGACAAAAAATTAATTAAGCCAGAAACATTTCATTGACAAAGATAATAAAATTTAGAAAGTACATGGCTTACCAATGAACCTTCTTGATGAATTAGCTTTTCCGACAGTTCGCAATCAAAATGAGCAAGATCACTCTCCTCACGAGCAATCGGACCAACAGATACTCTGGGTTGAGAATTATCTGGACTATCAAAATATACTGTTCATGGAAAAAAAAGACAGAGGATGTCAGATTTTGATTTGTAACTACGTAAATAAAAGTAGTGTTTTTATAACAATCGAAGAAGTCTTTTAAAGCAGAATTGAACACCACTTAATTATTTCTAGGATTAAAATTCAAGAACTGAACCTGACTACGTTGTTTGTCTAACAAATAAGTTCGAATAAGGTCAAAAACATTTTACTGTTCAAAATTTGTCCCGTTTACATTTACATTGCTCAAAAACCTAGTGGTATTTTCCAGTCGTTTTTCGTCTCGTGTATTTGTGAAAATTTGTATATAGACAAGGGTTCCCATATTCAGCTTGTCAGAAATCATTAGAATCGTGAAACGGTGGACAAAAAGCAAGAGAGATCACATGCGTCCAATGTTTTCACGAACAAAGAAAGTCGATATTCATTCTTGTGACTGTCACTACAATTGGCTTAAAAAGAGCTTTCTTATTTACCTTGTTATCTTCATAAATATCCTTTAGTATTTCATGAACTTTCCCAGATTTTTTGTCAATTTATACCAAAGCCTTAGTGGTCTAGTCCGTGCATGTATTAAAACAGACTATGTAAAACTAGCAGCCCTTCAGTACAACTTAGTATATATTAGAAAAGTTATTCATTGAATGTAATGTATTAGAAATACTGGTTGTCACTGGTATGAAAAAGAATGCTAAACGAAACTTTAAAACTCAGTAGATATTAGTCAAATGATGAAGGTCAGCTTAAAATATTTATCTTTACATCATTCCATTGCTGAATGATAGAAAAGAAAAGAGACGAGTATTATAAACTTAAGTTTCATTCCAGTAAGTGTTATGATCGAACGAGTATCGAATAGATTGTAACTCTTAGGACTGAGTCACAGATTATTGTTATTTATCTTCTCACTGGGGTAAAAAAAACTTACTAGACAACTGTTATTTTATTTCTGTAATCTCTTTATTGTAAGCTCCCGGTGGACGAATTAACTGTTGTGATGTGTATCTCGATTATTACTAATCCACTATGTACCGTCTGCTTCGCTCTTTGCTGCTTATGGCGGTCAGGCAACTACAACGTAGGACCAGACACATATGCTTATGGCATGATTGTATGTACAGTACGACTTCATATTGAAGTGTGCTGAGGTCTGATAATTTATGTTGAAATATAATAATAGGAATTTGGCTGCTTTTTTTCTGACACAAGGCTAAAGATAGACGGCATGAGTATCGGTGGAGTCATAGAATAAAATGCTTACATTAGCTCAAAGTTAACTGCATTTGTCAGGACGTATTAGTGGATATAGACGGAATAGCATACAATGGGTAGCAAAATTCTGATTTACAAGCTTAAAAAGTGATATGAATTAAATACTCAGGTATGAAAGTAATGACTAGAAAATTCTATCTTGTAAATGATCAATCACATTTTTTTATTGAAATATAAAATGTCAGGTGTTTTAATATTCAATAAATGGATTCGTATGAACATTTTAATTTGTTAAATAACGTAATAACCAATCCGATAGTTCACGAGAGTAATTCAGAACAATATTTTGATGATACAAACTGTCAAATTACTGAATAAGAAGGAAATTAAAAATGCTATAAAACGGAATGACGATAACATAGTTGGAACATGATTCAGTTACTTTAATGAATACTTGTATTAATCAACTCTGCGAGTATTATTTGACTTATTTACAAACTTATGGACACAAAAAATACAATGTCCAACAAAATAAACAGCTCATTGATTGTAAATATGACACTAAAACATATGTAGCCATACCAAATCAGAATACCGATAATCATGATGTAGATAGTGTATTAATAAAGGTCAATACCCTGAATAAGCAATCAAAATAAATCACTTATACAGAAGCTACACAAAGAAATGATTGACTGAATAAATCAACAACAAAAAACTTACCAACGATTGGCGCGAATGTCACACTCGGACGACCTTTAGGTATGATAGGCAAATTTGACAAACTTCTTGAAGAATTCTAAACCACAAACAAAAATATAATAACATCCGCGCGAACAGTGGACAAAACAAACTACACACAAACACGCAAACTACTATAAACGATAAAAAATTACCTGAAAATCATTATCTCCCACCAAAGAAGAACACACACCTACAAAGAATACGGGAAACACCAATCATGGAAAAACAAAAGACAACAGAAAAACAGAAATCCAAAAAACAAAAAAAATGACAAACAATAAGATACAAAATCACAAAATCCTAAAAAACAATAGGAACAATTCAACATACGGGACAAAAACGACACATTGAATCTCAACATCATCTTCATAACGGTAAGGGATGAGTGACAATCTATGGAGAGAGGACACTGGTAGATTCAACATCACCAAACAAAAACTCGAAGCACGTTTTATTCCAGCTGCCGACTCTGTCGAATGTTAGGCTCTGTGGCAGTGTTTGTCATTAAAAGGCATACCAAACAAGTACATCAACTTTGTAGAGGTTCTTCACTTCAACACCATTGGTCAAGTTAAAGTTTATGGAGAACTGTCAACCTCAAGTGATGTTCCTCAGGACTGTGCAGTTTCTCCACTCTTATTTAACTTCGTCATAGATATCCTTCTAAAAATGATACTCTCATAGTCTGACTTTTCAGAGGTCGGTCTTCTACCAGAAGATTCGCTTATTGACTTGGAATACCCAAGTGATATCGTGTTGTTTGGTAAAGACGCTGAAAAAAATATTGAGACCACTGTTGCCTTAAGCAATAATCCAAGCATGTTTGAGACGCGATTCTCTCCCTATAAATCAAAAATGTTAATTCAAAACTGGGCTGCGTCAACATCTGCATTAATGATCGGGAGTGAAGTAGCTGAGCATGTCGATCACTCCATTTATCTTGGACGTCTCATCAGTCCTGATGAGTAGGTATTTGATGAAACCACGACACGGAATCAAAACGTTCGGTCGGCTTTTGTGTCACTTATGGAGTGGGTGAGATATTAGTCTGTCAATCAAAGGACGAGTTTACCAATCAGCAATTCGCTTGGTTCTACTTTATGGGTGTGAAACATAGCCAATAAGAACAGAGAATGTTCTCAGGTCACTATTATTCGATCATAGGTGAACCGATACACAGCTCATACATTTTTGTCTGCCGAGTGAGAAATGCTGAAGTTACGCATAGGATACTAAGTAAAGATTGCCAAATCGATTGGTCAGGAAGTGAATATTCATCGGCTGAGGTGGTTCGTATATGTCTCGCCTATGCCCAATCACCGCCTAAATCAACGAGCGATATTGTCCAGTGTACAAGTAGACCGGGAGAAAGCTAAGTGGGGCCCATGAAATCATTGATAATTAGACTGATTCATATTAATCACTGTAGACTACCTGTGTGTGGTCGCGTAATTATCCTAACCAATTGCAAGAGACTATGGATAACAAGCCTGAAAATGGTTCGCAATAACCCACACACATTCACTCACTACCTTCTCTCAAAACATCATTGATGAATTAACACTTTCAATACCAAATCACTTTTACAAATACAGACAATGTTACTAAATCTACAACTCAAATATTTGTAAAAAAAAAAAACATCAGTATCTAACACCAAATACCCAATTATATACCGCAAAGAACGCAAACGAACGTCGAACATCAGTAAACAAACAACCAAAATAACAGATAAACAAATACATACCTTCTGGTATCGCAACATCATCTTCATAACGGTAAGGGATCGGTGACAATGTCTGGACAGAGGACACTGGTAGCTTCAACATCACCATACCATCACTCGAAGCATGTTTTACTCCATCTGAAGCAACAACTACAAAACCAACAATCAAACACAGTAAGCATAAACAACACGATACATGGTGATAATATCACTGAAAGACGCATATACATATACATTTCTTTGTTTATCCATATATATGTGCACATGCATACATACACACACCTATGTGCTCACACAATAACCTTCATTTTCAACCTGAAATCAATCACACTCTCTAACACACGTCGGACATCCATAAACAAACAACCACAACGACTGAAAAGGAAAAAAACACATACCGTCTGGAATCGCAACATCATCTTCACAACGGTAAGGGATCGGTGATAATCCTTGGAGAGAGGACACCGATGGCTCCAACATCTCGCTATTATCTCTCGAAACATTCTTCTCTTCATCTAAAACAACACCTACAAAGTTAACAATAAAACACAGTTAGCAAAAATAAGGACATCACAACAGTAACTGCTAAATGGATATGGTGGTTAGGCTTGCATATCGTGGTCACCCAATCAACTTATATGGGCTATAATACTTGTTCGTTTAGGTATTATCATAACATGCAGGTCGGTTTGGAGAACGGTCAGTATGAAATAAGTAACCTCAGGTCTGAAGGAGAAGTCGTACTGCTAATTGTACAGTCGTGTGACAACAGTAAAGTGTTTTCTTCAGAAAACCAGCATCTACGGCATTGATGCCTTCTCACAACGGAGGGAAGAAGTTAGAAAATATCGACTCTGAAATGATTTTACAACTTACATCACGGATTTACGTCTTCAGTGCCAAGGCCTTTGGAAGTAATGAGCTAGGAGATCATAAACCTCTCATAAAAGGGTCATGTTTTACCAACCTCAAACTATTGTCCCTTAGCCTCCGTCGCCACACTCCCACGTCTTCATGGCCAACAGGCTGCCTCAACTATGCTCACATAACCGTTTATTTCTAGCAAGCATCAACTTCAATCATAAGGGAAGACATTGTCTGACACTGCGACACCCACAACCGACTGAACGACGGATTCAAATAGATCACAGTGCCACCAGTCATTGTTCGAGAGGCTCGATAGTAGACAGCCGCTCATTATAGAGCACACGTCTAGACTTTGATCATATTCTAGTGAGAACACATGTTTGTCTGTATCTTACTGAAAACATAAATGCCATAGCAAGAAGACCCCTTAGAGTTCGACTTAATGGTCAAACAGTCAAGCGTACATTTCAACAGCGAATAGAAAAACAGTTAATCAACCATGAAAGTGATATCCACCCCAAGATAGCTTGGTATGATATTTAAACAAATTTATAAACAGCAGTAATATATACCAGTAAATTAAACCAAAGCGTTGAGAAAGGTCAATGGATTTCCGTAGAGTCCACTGAACTGATAGATGCCCAGAAACTCATCCGTCTAACTCCAAACACGATGAGGAGTGAGAGCAGATTACATGTAGACGGATCAAAAGCCTAAGCAATGATCGTGAGCAGAGGCAGGCAGAGAAATCAAAAGTGATGGAAAAGGCAGCAGTAGTAGTTAACAATAGACAACTATTCAGACTTATCAAGTGAACAGGTTTTAACAATCCGGCTGTTAGTGAAACTATCTCAGGACTATTATTCACTCTCAACCAATAAGATTAGACCGATATGCAGAACATTTTAGGCAATAGTTCAACAGACCTCCTGCTACCCTTCAGTTACCCACTATCGCCAAACAGCCTGAAAGGAAAATCGACATCAGCCCTCAAACTCTTAGTGAGGTTGAAAAAGTTATAACTAATCTAAAGCGACACAGAGCAGCAGGTTCAAATGGGTTAGCTCCGGAGATCTCTAAAGATAGTACTATAGTTTGGCAGTCAGATCGACTGAGATCATAATTAGAATATGGGAATTAGACATAATCTCATTCGACTGGTCTCGATCGCTGATTGTCCCAGTTTATAAGAAAGGACAGAAATCCCCCTAGTCGTGACCACAAAGGAATCTGTTTGAATAATATAACACCTAATATATTTTTCTCAATAACTAGGGCTCGTGAAGAGCGAAATCGGGACAGTCAGACTCGGTTCAGACCTGGACGTGAGCGTAACAACCAAATACCCACCCTTTGTCAGGTCCTGAAACATAGACATACTTCCCGACATCCGACTACAGTGTATTTCTTAACCTTAGACTTTAAGGCAGCTTCCGACTCTGTCGAATGTGAGGCTCTGTGGCAGTGTTTGTCATTAAAAGGCATACCAAACAAGTACATCAACTTTGTAGAGGTTCTTCACTTCAACACCATTGGTCAAGTTAAAGTTTATGGAGAACTGTCAACCTCAAGTGATGTTCCTCAGGACTGTGCAGTTTCTCCACTCTTATTTAACTTCGTCATAGATATCCTTCTAAAAATGATACTCTCATAGTCTGACTTTTCAGAGGTCGGTCTTCTACCAGAAGATTCGCTTATTGACTTGGAATACCCAAGTGATATCGTGTTGTTTGGTAAAGACGCTGAAAAAAATATTGAGACCACTGTTGCCTTAAGCAATAATCCAAGCATGTTTGAGACGCGATTCTCTCCCTATAAATCAAAAATGTTAATTCAAAACTGGGCTGCGTCAACATCTGCATTAATGATCGGGAGTGAAGTAGCTGAGCATGTCGATCACTCCATTTATCTTGGACGTCTCATCAGTCCTGATGAGTAGGTATTTGATGAAACCACGACACGGAATCAAAACGTTCGGTCGGCTTTTGTGTCACTTATGGAGTGGGTGAGATATTAGTCTGTCAATCAAAGGACGAGTTTACCAATCAGCAATTCGCTTGGTTCTACTTTATGGGTGTGAAACATAGCCAATAAGAACAGAGAATGTTCTCAGGTCACTATTATTCGATCATAGGTGAACCGATACACAGCTCATACATTTTTGTCTGCCGAGTGAGAAATGCTGAAGTTACGCATAGGATACTAAGTAAAGATTGCCAAATCGATTGGTCAGGAAGTGAATATTCATCGGCTGAGGTGGTTCGTATATGTCTCGCCTATGCCCAATCACCGCCTAAATCAACGAGCGATATTGTCCAGTGTACAAGTAGACCGGGAGAAAGCTAAGTGGGGCCCATGAAATCATTGATAATTAGACTGATTCATATTAATCACTGTAGACTACCTGTGTGTGGTCGCGTAATTATCCTAACCAATTGCAAGAGACTATGGATAACAAGCCTGAAAATGGTTCGCAATAACCCACACACATTCACTCACTACCTTCTCTCAAAACATCATTGATGAATTAACACTTTCAATACCAAATCACTTTTACAAATACAGACAATGTTACTAAATCTACAACTCAAATATTTGTAAAAAAAAAACATCAGTATCTAACACCAAATACCCAATTATATACCGCAAAGAACGCAAACGAACGTCGAACATCAGTAAACAAACAACCAAAATAACAGATAAACAAATACATACCTTCTGGTATCGCAACATCATCTTCATAACGGTAAGGGATCGGTGACAATGTCTGGACAGAGGACACTGGTAGCTTCAACATCACCATACCATCACTCGAAGCATGTTTTACTCCATCTGAAGCAACAACTACAAAACCAACAATCAAACACAGTAAGCATAAACAACACGATACATGGTGATAATATCACTGAAAGACGCATATACATATACATTTCTTTGTTTATCCATATATATGTGCACATGCATACATACACACACCTATGTGCTCACACAATAACCTTCATTTTCAACCTGAAATCAATCACACTCTCTAACACACGTCGGACATCCATAAACAAACAACCACAACGACTGAAAAGGAAAAAAACACATACCGTCTGGAATCGCAACATCATCTTCACAACGGTAAGGGATCGGTGATAATCCTTGGAGAGAGGACACCGATGGCTCCAACATCTCGCTATTATCTCTCGAAACATTCTTCTCTTCATCTAAAACAACACCTACAAAGTTAACAATAAAACACAGTTAGCAAAAATAAGGACATCACAACAGTAACTGCTAAATGGATATGGTGGTTAGGCTTGCATATCGTGGTCACCCAATCAACTTATATGGGCTATAATACTTGTTCGTTTAGGTATTATCATAACATGCAGGTCGGTTTGGAGAACGGTCAGTATGAAATAAGTAACCTCAGGTCTGAAGGAGAAGTCGTACTGCTAATTGTACAGTCGTGTGACAACAGTAAAGTGTTTTCTTCAGAAAACCAGCATCTACGGCATTGATGCCTTCTCACAACGGAGGGAAGAAGTTAGAAAATATCGACTCTGAAATGATTTTACAACTTACATCACGGATTTACGTCTTCAGTGCCAAGGCCTTTGGAAGTAATGAGCTAGGAGATCATAAACCTCTCATAAAAGGGTCATGTTTTACCAACCTCAAACTATTGTCCCTTAGCCTCCGTCGCCACACTCCCACGTCTTCATGGCCAACAGGCTGCCTCAACTATGCTCACATAACCGTTTATTTCTAGCAAGCATCAACTTCAATCATAAGGGAAGACATTGTCTGACACTGCGACACCCACAACCGACTGAACGACGGATTCAAATAGATCACAGTGCCACCAGTCATTGTTCGAGAGGCTCGATAGTAGACAGCCGCTCATTATAGAGCACACGTCTAGACTTTGATCATATTCTAGTGAGAACACATGTTTGTCTGTATCTTACTGAAAACATAAATGCCATAGCAAGAAGACCCCTTAGAGTTCGACTTAATGGTCAAACAGTCAAGCGTACATTTCAACAGCGAATAGAAAAACAGTTAATCAACCATGAAAGTGATATCCACCCCAAGATAGCTTGGTATGATATTTAAACAAATTTATAAACAGCAGTAATATATACCAGTAAATTAAACCAAAGCGTTGAGAAAGGTCAATGGATTTCCGTAGAGTCCACTGAACTGATAGATGCCCAGAAACTCATCCGTCTAACTCCAAACACGATGAGGAGTGAGAGCAGATTACATGTAGACGGATCAAAAGCCTAAGCAATGATCGTGAGCAGAGGCAGGCAGAGAAATCAAAAGTGATGGAAAAGGCAGCAGTAGTAGTTAACAATAGACAACTATTCAGACTTATCAAGTGAACAGGTTTTAACAATCCGGCTGTTAGTGAAACTATCTCAGGACTATTATTCACTCTCAACCAATAAGATTAGACCGATATGCAGAACATTTTAGGCAATAGTTCAACAGACCTCCTGCTACCCTTCAGTTACCCACTATCGCCAAACAGCCTGAAAGGAAAATCGACATCAGCCCTCAAACTCTTAGTGAGGTTGAAAAAGTTATAACTAATCTAAAGCGACACAGAGCAGCAGGTTCAAATGGGTTAGCTCCGGAGATCTCTAAAGATAGTACTATAGTTTGGCAGTCAGATCGACTGAGATCATAATTAGAATATGGGAATTAGACATAATCTCATTCGACTGGTCTCGATCGCTGATTGTCCCAGCTTATAAGAAAGGACAGAAATCCCCCTAGTCGTGACCACAAAGGAATCTGTTTGAATAATATAACACCTAATATATTTTTCTCAATAACTAGGGCTCGTGAAGAGCGAAATCGGGACAGTCAGACTCGGTTCAGACCTGGACGTGAGCGTAACAACCAAATACCCACCCTTTGTCAGGTCCTGAAACATAGACATACTTCCCGACATCCGACTACAGTGTATTTCTTAACCTTAGACTTTAAGGCAGCTTCCGACTCTGTCGAATGTGAGGCTCTGTGGCAGTGTTTGTCATTAAAAGGCATACCAAACAAGTACATCAACTTTGTAGAGGTTCTTCACTTCAACACCATTGGTCAAGTTAAAGTTTATGGAGAACTGTCAACCTCAAGTGATGTTCCTCAGGACTGTGCAGTTTCTCCACTCTTATTTAACTTCGTCATAGATATCCTTCTAAAAATGATACTCTCATAGTCTGACTTTTCAGAGGTCGGTCTTCTACCAGAAGATTCGCTTATTGACTTGGAATACCCAAGTGATATCGTGTTGTTTGGTAAAGACGCTGAAAAAAATATTGAGACCACTGTTGCCTTAAGCAATAATCCAAGCATGTTTGAGACGCGATTCTCTCCCTATAAATCAAAAATGTTAATTCAAAACTGGGCTGCGTCAACATCTGCATTAATGATCGGGAGTGAAGTAGCTGAGCATGTCGATCACTCCATTTATCTTGGACGTCTCATCAGTCCTGATGAGTAGGTATTTGATGAAACCACGACACGGAATCAAAACGTTCGGTCGGATTTTGTGTCACTTATGGAGTGGGTGAGATATCAGTCTGTCAATCAAAGGACGAGTTTACCAATCAGCAATTCGCTTGGTTCTACTTTATGGGTGTGAAACATAGCCAATAAGAACAGAGAATGTTCTCAGGTCACTATTATTCGATCATAGGTGAACCGATACACAGCTCATACATTTTTGTCTGCCGAGTGAGAAATGCTGAAGTTACGCATAGGATACTAAGTAAAGATTGCCAAATCGATTGATCAGGAAGTGAATATTCATCGGCTGAAGTGGTTCGTATATGTCTCGCCTATGCCCAATCACCGCCTAAATCAACGAGCGATATTGTCCAGTGTACAAGTAGACCGGGAGAAAGCTAAGTGGGGCCCATGAAATCATTGATAATTAGACTGATTCATATTAATCACTGTAGACTACCTGTGTGTGGTCGCGTAATTATCCTAACCAATTGCAAGAGACTATGGATAACAAGCCTGAAAATGGTTCGCAGTAACCCACACACATTCACTCACTACCTTCTCTCAAAACATCATTGATGAATTAACACTTTCAATACCAAATCACTTTTACAAATACAGACAATGTTACTAAATCTACAACTCAAAAATTTGTAAAAAAAAAACATCAGTATCTAACACCAAATACCCAATTATATACCGCAAAGAACGCAAACGCACGTCGAACATCAGTAAACAAACAACCAAAATAACAGATAAACAAATACATACCTTCTGGTATCGCAACATCATCTTCATAACGGTAAGGGATCGGTGACAATGTCTGGACAGAGGACACTGGTAGCTTCAACATCACCATACCATCACTCGAAGCATGTTTTACTCCATCTGAAGCAACAACTACAAAACCAACAATCAAACACAGTAAGCATAAACAACACGATACATGGTGATAATATCACTGAAAGACGCATATACATATACATTTCTTTGTTTATCCATATATATGTGCACATGCATACATACACACACCTATGTGCTCACACAATAACCTTCATTTTCAACCTGAAATCAATCACACTCTCTAACACACGTCGGACATCCATAAACAAACAACCACAACGACTGAAAAGGAAAAAAACACATACCGTCTGGAATCGCAACATCATCTTCACAACGGTAAGGGATCGGTGATAATCCTTGGAGAGAGGACACCGATGGCTCCAACATCTCGCTATTATCTCTCGAAACATTCTTCTCTTCATCTAAAACAACACCTACAAAGTTAACAATAAAACACAGTTAGCAAAAATAAGGACATCACAACAGTAACTGCTAAATGGATATGGTGGTTAGGCTTGCATATCGTGGTCACCCAATCAACTTATATGGGCTATAATACTTGTTCGTTTAGGTATTATCATAACATGCAGGTCGGTTTGGAGAACGGTCAGTATGAAATAAGTAACCTCAGGTCTGAAGGAGAAGTCGTACTGCTAATTGTACAGTCGTGTGACAACAGTAAAGTGTTTTCTTCAGAAAACCAGCATCTACGGCATTGATGCCTTCTCACAACGGAGGGAAGAAGTTAGAAAATATCGACTCTGAAATGATTTTACAACTTACATCACGGATTTACGTCTTCAGTGCCAAGGCCTTTGGAAGTAATGAGCTAGGAGATCATAAACCTCTCATAAAAGGGTCATGTTTTACCAACCTCAAACTATTGTCCCTTAGCCTCCGTCGCCACACTCCCACGTCTTCATGGCCAACAGGCTGCCTCAACTATGCTCACATAACCGTTTATTTCTAGCAAGCATCAACTTCAATCATAAGGGAAGACATTGTCTGACACTGCGACACCCACAACCGACTGAACGACGGATTCAAATAGATCACAGTGCCACCAGTCATTGTTCGAGAGGCTCGATAGTAGACAGCCGCTCATTATAGAGCACACGTCTAGACTTTGATCATATTCTAGTGAGAACACATGTTTGTCTGTATCTTACTGAAAACATAAATGCCATAGCAAGAAGACCCCTTAGAGTTCGACTTAATGGTCAAACAGTCAAGCGTACATTTCAACAGCGAATAGAAAAACAGTTAATCAACCATGAAAGTGATATCCACCCCAAGATAGCTTGGTATGATATTTAAACAAATTTATAAACAGCAGTAATATATACCAGTAAATTAAACCAAAGCGTTGAGAAAGGTCAATGGATTTCCGTAGAGTCCACTGAACTGATAGATGCCCAGAAACTCATCCGTCTAACTCCAAACACGATGAGGAGTGAGAGCAGATTACATGTAGACGGATCAAAAGCCTAAGCAATGATCGTGAGCAGAGGCAGGCAGAGAAATCAAAAGTGATGGAAAAGGCAGCAGTAGTAGTTAACAATAGACAACTATTCAGACTTATCAAGTGAACAGGTTTTAACAATCCGGCTGTTAGTGAAACTATCTCAGGACTATTATTCACTCTCAACCAATGAGATTAGACCGATATGCAGAACATTTTAGGCAATAGTTCAACAGACCTCCTGCTACCCTTCAGTTACCCACTATCGCCAAACAGCCTGAAAGGAAAATCGACATCAGCCCTCAAACTCTTAGTGAGGTTGAAAAAGCTATAACTAATCTAAAGCGACACAGAGCAGCAGGTTCAAATGGGTTAGCTCCGGAGATCTCTAAAGATAGTACTATAGTTTGGCAGTCAGATCGACTGAGATCATAATTAGAATATGGGAATTAGACATAATCTCATTCGACTGGTCTCGATCGCTGATTGTCCCAGTTTATAAGAAAGGACAGAAATCCCCCTAGTCGTGACCACAAAGGAATCTGTTTGAATAATATAACACCTAATATATTTTTCTCAATAACTAGGGCTCGTGAAGAGCGAAATCGGGACAGTCAGACTCGGTTCAGACCTGGACGTGAGCGTAACAACCAAATACCCACCCTTTGTCAGGTCCTGGAACATAGACATACTTCCCGACATCCGACTACAGTGTATTTCTTAACCTTAGACTTTAAGGCAGCTTCCGACTCTGTCGAATGTGAGGCTCTGTGGCAGTGTTTGTCATTAAAAGGCATACCAAACAAGTACATCAACTTTGTAGAGGTTCTTCACTTCAACACCATTGGTCAAGTTAAAGTTTATGGAGAACTGTCAACCTCAAGTGATGTTCCTCAGGACTGTGCAGTTTCTCCACTCTTATTTAACTTCGTCATAGATATCCTTCTAAAAATGATACTCTCATAGTCTGACTTTTCAGAGGTCGGTCTTCTACCAGAAGATTCGCTTATTGACTTGGAATACCCAAGTGATATCGTGTTGTTTGGTAAAGACGCTGAAAAAAATATTGAGACCACTGTTGCCTTAAGCAATAATCCAAGCATGTTTGAGACGCGATTCTCTCCCTATAAATCAAAAATGTTAATTCAAAACTGGGCTGCGTCAACATCTGCATTATTGATCGGAAGTGAAGTAGCTGAGCATGTCGATCACTCCATTTATCTTGGACGTCTCATCAGTCCTGATGAGTAGGTATTTGATGAAACCACGACACGGAATCAAAACGTTCGGTCGGATTTTGTGTCACTTATGGAGTGGGTGAGATATTAGTCTGTCAATCAAAGGACGAGTTTACCAATCAGCAATTCGCTTGGTTCTACTTTATGGGTGTGAAACATAGCCAATAAGAACAGAGAATGTTCTCAGGTCACTATTATTCGATCATAGGTGAACCGATACACAGCTCATACATTTTTGTCTGCCGAGTGAGAAATGCTGAAGTTACGCATAGGATACTAAGTAAAGATTGCCAAATCGATTGGTCAGGAAGTGAATATTCATCGGCTGAGGTGGTTCGTATATGTCTCGCCTATGCCCAATCACCGCCTAAATCAACGAGCGATATTGTCCAGTGTACAAGTAGACCGGGAGAAAGCTAAGTGGGGCCCATGAAATCATTGATAATTAGACTGATTCATATTAATCACTGTAGACTACCTGTGTGTGGTCGCGTAATTATCCTAACCAATTGCAAGAGACTATGGATAACAAGCCTGAAAATGGTTCGCAATAACCCACACACATTCACTCACTACCTTCTCTCAAAACATCATTGATGAATTAACACTTTCAATACCAAATCACTTTTACAAATACAGACAATGTTACTAAATCTACAACTCAAAAATTTGTAAAAAAAAACATCAGTATCTAACACCAAATACCCAATTATATACCGCAAAGAACGCAAACGCACGTCGAACATCAGTAAACAAACAACCAAAATAACAGATAAACAAATACATACCTTCTGGTATCGCAACATCATCTTCATAACGGTAAGGGATCGGTGACAATGTCTGGACAGAGGACACTGGTAGCTTCAACATCACCATACCATCACTCGAAGCATGTTTTACTCCATCTGAAGCAACAACTACAAAACCAACAATCAAACACAGTAAGCATAAACAACACGATACATGGTGATAATATCACTGAAAGACGCATATACATATACATTTCTTTGTTTATCCATATATATGTGCACATGCATACATACACACACCTATGTGCTCACACAATAACCTTCATTTTCAACCTGAAATCAATCACACTCTCTAACACACGTCGGACATCCATAAACAAACAACCACAACGACTGAAAAGGAAAAAAACACATACCGTCTGGAATCGCAACATCATCTTCACAACGGTAAGGGATCGGTGATAATCCTTGGAGAGAGGACACCGATGGCTCCAACATCTCGCTATTATCTCTCGAAACATTCTTCTCTTCATCTAAAACAACACCTACAAAGTTAACAATAAAACACAGTTAGCAAAAATAAGGACATCACAACAGTAACTGCTAAATGGATATGGTGGTTAGGCTTGCATATCGTGGTCACCCAATCAACTTATATGGGCTATAATACTTGTTCGTTTAGGTATTATCATAACATGCAGGTCGGTTTGGAGAACGGTCAGTATGAAATAAGTAACCTCAGGTCTGAAGGAGAAGTCGTACTGCTAATTGTACAGTCGTGTGACAACAGTAAAGTGTTTTCTTCAGAAAACCAGCATCTACGGCATTGATGCCTTCTCACAACGGAGGGAAGAAGTTAGAAAATATCGACTCTGAAATGATTTTACAACTTACATCACGGATTTACGTCTTCAGTGCCAAGGCCTTTGGAAGTAATGAGCTAGGAGATCATAAACCTCTCATAAAAGGGTCATGTTTTACCAACCTCAAACTATTGTCCCTTAGCCTCCGTCGCCACACTCCCACGTCTTCATGGCCAACAGGCTGCCTCAACTATGCTCACATAACCGTTTATTTCTAGCAAGCATCAACTTCAATCATAAGGGAAGACATTGTCTGACACTGCGACACCCACAACCGACTGAACGACGGATTCAAATAGATCACAGTGCCACCAGTCATTGTTCGAGAGGCTCGATAGTAGACAGCCGCTCATTATAGAGCACACGTCTAGACTTTGATCATATTCTAGTGAGAACACATGTTTGTCTGTATCTTACTGAAAACATAAATGCCATAGCAAGAAGACCCCTTAGAGTTCGACTTAATGGTCAAACAGTCAAGCGTACATTTCAACAGCGAATAGAAAAACAGTTAATCAACCATGAAAGTGATATCCACCCCAAGATAGCTTGGTATGATATTTAAACAAATTTATAAACAGCAGTAATATATACCAGTAAATTAAACCAAAGCGTTGAGAAAGGTCAATGGATTTCCGTAGAGTCCACTGAACTGATAGATGCCCAGAAACTCATCCGTCTAACTCCAAACACGATGAGGAGTGAGAGCAGATTACATGTAGACGGATCAAAAGCCTAAGCAATGATCGTGAGCAGAGGCAGGCAGAGAAATCAAAAGTGATGGAAAAGGCAGCAGTAGTAGTTAACAATAGACAACTATTCAGACTTATCAAGTGAACAGGTTTTAACAATCCGGCTGTTAGTGAAACTATCTCAGGACTATTATTCACTCTCAACCAATGAGATTAGACCGATATGCAGAACATTTTAGGCAATAGTTCAACAGACCTCCTGCTACCCTTCAGTTACCCACTATCGCCAAACAGCCTGAAAGGAAAATCGACATCAGCCCTCAAACTCTTAGTGAGGTTGAAAAAGTTATAACTAATCTAAAGCGACACAGAGCAGCAGGTTCAAATGGGTTAGCTCCGGAGATCTCTAAAGATAGTACTATAGTTTGGCAGTCAGATCGACTGAGATCATAATTAGAATATGGGAATTAGACATAATCTCATTCGACTGGTCTCGATCGCTGATTGTCCCAGTTTATAAGAAAGGACAGAAATCCCCCTAGTCGTGACCACAAAGGAATCTGTTTGAATAATATAACACCTAATATATTTTTCTCAATAACTAGGGCTCGTGAAGAGCGAAATCGGGACAGTCAGACTCGGTTCAGACCTGGACGTGAGCGTAACAACCAAATACCCACCCTTTGTCAGGTCCTGGAACATAGACATACTTCCCGACATCCGACTACAGTGTATTTCTTAACCTTAGACTTTAAGGCAGCTTCCGACTCTGTCGAATGTGAGGCTCTGTGGCAGTGTTTGTCATTAAAAGGCATACCAAACAAGTACATCAACTTTGTAGAGGTTCTTCACTTCAACACCATTGGTCAAGTTAAAGTTTATGGAGAACTGTCAACCTCAAGTGATGTTCCTCAGGACTGTGCAGTTTCTCCACTCTTATTTAACTTCGTCATAGATATCCTTCTAAAAATGATACTCTCATAGTCTGACTTTTCAGAGGTCGGTCTTCTACCAGAAGATTCGCTTATTGACTTGGAATACCCAAGTGATATCGTGTTGTTTGGTAAAGACGCTGAAAAAAATATTGAGACCACTGTTGCCTTAAGCAATAATCCAAGCATGTTTGAGACGCGATTCTCTCCCTATAAATCAAAAATGTTAATTCAAAACTGGGCTGCGTCAACATCTGCATTATTGATCGGAAGTGAAGTAGCTGAGCATGTCGATCACTCCATTTATCTTGGACGTCTCATCAGTCCTGATGAGTAGGTATTTGATGAAACCACGACACGGAATCAAAACGTTCGGTCGGATTTTGTGTCACTTATGGAGTGGGTGAGATATTAGTCTGTCAATCAAAGGACGAGTTTACCAATCAGCAATTCGCTTGGTTCTACTTTATGGGTGTGAAACATAGCCAATAAGAACAGAGAATGTTCTCAGGTCACTATTATTCGATCATAGGTGAACCGATACACAGCTCATACATTTTTGTCTGCCGAGTGAGAAATGCTGAAGTTACGCATAGGATACTAAGTAAAGATTGCCAAATCGATTGGTCAGGAAGTGAATATTCATCGGCTGAGGTGGTTCGTATATGTCTCGCCTATGCCCAATCACCGCCTAAATCAACGAGCGATATTGTCCAGTGTACAAGTAGACCGGGAGAAAGCTAAGTGGGGCCCATGAAATCATTGATAATTAGACTGATTCATATTAATCACTGTAGACTACCTGTGTGTGGTCGCGTAATTATCCTAACCAATTGCAAGAGACTATGGATAACAAGCCTGAAAATGGTTCGCAATAACCCACACACATTCACTCACTACCTTCTCTCAAAACATCATTGATGAATTAACACTTTCAATACCAAATCACTTTTACAAATACAGACAATGTTACTAAATCTACAACTCAAAAATTTGTAAAAAAAAAACATCAGTATCTAACACCAAATACCCAATTATATACCGCAAAGAACGCAAACGCACGTCGAACATCAGTAAACAAACAACCAAAATAACAGATAAACAAATACATACCTTCTGGTATCGCAACATCATCTTCATAACGGTAAGGGATCGGTGACAATGTCTGGAGAGAGGACACTGGTAGCTTCAACATCACCATACCATCACTCGAAGCATGTTTTACTCCATCTGAAGCAACAACTACAAAACCAACAATCAAACACAGTAAGCATAAACAACACGATACATGGTGATAATATCACTGAAAGACGCATATACATATACATTTCTTTGTTTATCCATATATATGTGCACATGCATACATACACACACCTATGTGCTCACACAATAACCTTCATTTTCAACCTGAAATCAATCACACTCTCTAACACACGTCGGACATCCATAAACAAACAACCACAACGACTGAAAAGGAAAAAAACACATACCGTCTGGAATCGCAACATCATCTTCACAACGGTAAGGGATCGGTGATAATCCTTGGAGAGAGGACACCGATGGCTCCAACATCTCGCTATTATCTCTCGAAACATTCTTCTCTTCATCTAAAACAACACCTACAAATTTAACAATAAAACACAGTTAGCAAAAATAAGGACATCACAACAGTAACTGCTAAATGGATATGGTGGTTAGGCTTGCATATCGTGGTCACCCAATCAACTTATATGGGCTATAATACTTGTTCGTTTAGGTATTATCATAACATGCAGGTCGGTTTGGAGAACGGTCAGTATGAAATAAGTAACCTCAGGTCTGAAGGAGAAGTCGTACTGCTAATTGTACAGTCGTGTGACAACAGTAAAGTGTTTTCTTCAGAAAACCAGCATCTACGGCATTGATGCCTTCTCACAACGGAGGGAAGAAGTTAGAAAATATCGACTCTGAAATGATTTTACAACTTACATCACGGATTTACGTCTTCAGTGCCAAGGCCTTTGGAAGTAATGAGCTAGGAGATCATAAACCTCTCATAAAAGGGTCATGTTTTACCAACCTCAAACTATTGTCCCTTAGCCTCCGTCGCCACACTCCCACGTCTTCATGGCCAACAGGCTGCCTCAACTATGCTCACATAACCGTTTATTTCTAGCAAGCATCAACTTCAATCATAAGGGAAGACATTGTCTGACACTGCGACACCCACAACCGACTGAACGACGGATTCAAATAGATCACAGTGCCACCAGTCATTGTTCGAGAGGCTCGATAGTAGACAGCCGCTCATTATAGAGCACACGTCTAGACTTTGATCATATTCTAGTGAGAACACATGTTTGTCTGTATCTTACTGAAAACATAAATGCCATAGCAAGAAGACCCCTTAGAGTTCGACTTAATGGTCAAACAGTCAAGCGTACATTTCAACAGCGAATAGAAAAACAGTTAATCAACCATGAAAGTGATATCCACCCCAAGATAGCTTGGTATGATATTTAAACAAATTTATAAACAGCAGTAATATATACCAGTAAATTAAACCAAAGCGTTGAGAAAGGTCAATGGATTTCCGTAGAGTCCACTGAACTGATAGATGCCCAGAAACTCATCCGTCTAACTCCAAACACGATGAGGAGTGAGAGCAGATTACATGTAGACGGATCAAAAGCCTAAGCAATGATCGTGAGCAGAGGCAGGCAGAGAAATCAAAAGTGATGGAAAAGGCAGCAGTAGTAGTTAACAATAGACAACTATTCAGACTTATCAAGTGAACAGGTTTTAACAATCCGGCTGTTAGTGAAACTATCTCAGGACTATTATTCACTCTCAACCAATAAGATTAGACCGATATGCAGAACATTTTAGGCAATAGTTCAACAGACCTCCTGCTACCCTTCAGTTACCCACTATCGCCAAACAGCCTGAAAGGAAAATCGACATCAGCCCTCAAACTCTTAGTGAGGTTGAAAAAGCTATAACTAATCTAAAGCGACACAGAGCAGCAGGTTCAAATGGGTTAGCTCCGGAGATCTCTAAAGATAGTACTATAGTTTGGCAGTCAGATCGACTGAGATCATAATTAGAATATGGGAATTAGACATAATCTCATTCGACTGGTCTCGATCGCTGATTGTCCCAGTTTATAAGAAAGGACAGAAATCCCCCTAGTCGTGACCACAAAGGAATCTGTTTGAATAATATAACACCTAATATATTTTTCTCAATAACTAGGGCTCGTGAAGAGCGAAATCGGGACAGTCAGACTCGGTTCAGACCTGGACGTGAGCGTAACAACCAAATACCCACCCTTTGTCAGGTCCTGGAACATAGACATACTTCCCGACATCCGACTACAGTGTATTTCTTAACCTTAGACTTTAAGGCAGCTTCCGACTCTGTCGAATGTGAGGCTCTGTGGCAGTGTTTGTCATTAAAAGGCATACCAAACAAGTACATCAACTTTGTAGAGGTTCTTCACTTCAACACCATTGGTCAAGTTAAAGTTTATGGAGAACTGTCAACCTCAAGTGATGTTCCTCAGGACTGTGCAGTTTCTCCACTCTTATTTAACTTCGTCATAGATATCCTTCTAAAAATGATACTCTCATAGTCTGACTTTTCAGAGGTCGGTCTTCTACCAGAAGATTCGCTTATTGACTTGGAATACCCAAGTGATATCGTGTTGTTTGGTAAAGACGCTGAAAAAAATATTGAGACCACTGTTGCCTTAAGCAATAATCCAAGCATGTTTGAGACGCGATTCTCTCCCTATAAATCAAAAATGTTAATTCAAAACTGGGCTGCGTCAACATCTGCATTATTGATCGGAAGTGAAGTAGCTGAGCATGTCGATCACTCCATTTATCTTGGACGTCTCATCAGTCCTGATGAGTAGGTATTTGATGAAACCACGACACGGAATCAAAACGTTCGGTCGGATTTTGTGTCACTTATGGAGTGGGTGAGATATTAGTCTGTCAATCAAAGGACGAGTTTACCAATCAGCAATTCGCTTGGTTCTACTTTATGGGTGTGAAACATAGCCAATAAGAACAGAGAATGTTCTCAGGTCACTATTATTCGATCATAGGTGAACCGATACACAGCTCATACATTTTTGTCTGCCGAGTGAGAAATGCTGAAGTTACGCATAGGATACTAAGTAAAGATTGCCAAATCGATTGATCAGGAAGTGAATATTCATCGGCTGAAGTGGTTCGTATATGTCTCGCCTATGCCCAATCACCGCCTAAATCAACGAGCGATATTGTCCAGTGTACAAGTAGACCGGGAGAAAGCTAAGTGGGGCTCATGAAGTCATTGATAATTAGACTGATTCATATTAATCACTGTAGACTACCTGTGTGTGGTCGCGTAATTATCCTAACCAATTGCAAGAGACTATGGATAACAAGCCTGAAAATGGTTCGCAATAACCCACACACATTCACTCACTACCTTCTCTCAAAACATCATTGATGAATTAACACTTTCAATACCAAATCACTTTTACAAATACAGACAATGTTACTAAATCTACAACTCAAAAATTTGTAAAAAAAAACATCAGTATCTAACACCAGATACCCAATTATATACCGCAAAGAACGCAAACGAACGTCGAACATCAGTAAACAAACAACCAAAATAACAGATAAACAAATACATACCTTCTGGTATCGCATCATCATCTTCATAACGGTAAGGGATCGGTGACAATGTCTGGACAGAGGACACTGGTAGCTTCAACATCACCATACCATCACTCGAAGCATGTTTTACTCCATCTGAAGCAACAACTACAAAACCAACAATCAAACACAGTAAGCATAAACAACACGATACATGGTGATAATATCACTGAAAGACGCATATACATATACATTTCTTTGTTTATCCATATATATGTGCACATGCATACATACACACACCTATGTGCTCACACAATAACCTTCATTTTCAACCTGAAATCAATCACACTCTCTAACACACGTCGGACATCCATAAACAAACAACCACAACGACTGAAAAGGAAAAAAACACATACCGTCTGGAATCGCAACATCATCTTCACAACGGTAAGGGATCGGTGATAATCCTTGGAGAGAGGACACCGATGGCTCCAACATCTCGCTATTATCTCTCGAAACATTCTTCTCTTCATCTAAAACAACACCTACAAAGTTAACAATAAAACAAAGTTAGCAAAAATAAGGACATCACAACAGTAACTGCTAAATGGATATGGTGGTTAGGCTTGCATATCGTGGTCACCCAATCAACTTATATGGGCTATAATACTTGTTCGTTTAGGTATTATCATAACAAGCAGGTCGGTTTGGAGAACGGTCATTTTGAAATTAGTAAATTCTTGTATGATGCAGAACTTCAAATGGTCTCGCTTTGCGAAATGTTTTTCGATTTAATGATATCGAGTTTTCGATTCATAGTTTTTTTTAAAGACTGGCATTCCAAATTGGTTGTTCTGTTATTAATTCGTATTGGGTGACTACTTTACTGGGGGGATTTTACATTGTCTCGAATTTAGGGCAAATTTTGCAAAAAAAATACCACTTTTTGGTTTGGGATCCTGTTTGTATTTATCCATTGAATTATAATAGCTATGTATCGCCATCGTCTGTCTTTTTTTTCAGTTCAATTTCTTACTGTATGAAACTATGTAAAGGAAATGGTACCACTCCTTTCTTGTACTATAGTGATTGATGATAGTAGTTCCTTGTCTGAAGGATTTTCTCTTCGTTTTAATTAACGTTATACGCTGCTTACAGTAAATATTCAATGTACGTCTGAGTGTTTTATTATTAGTGTTTGTGTGCTTACATTAAAATCAGTATTTCACTTCTTTGAAATCTTTCAAAAATATTTAAGCTCTGCATTTTTTGAACTTTGACTCTTGAGTTTAGAAAACTTTCAAAGCAATCATTCGAAATTTTCGAGATTTATTGACATGATACGGTTAAATATTTCTGAAATATTTAAAAATGTAACTTTTTACTCATTTTAATCACTTACTATTTTTTCGACGCTTCTTCACTAATTGCCTGGAATCAACAATATCATCATCATCTTCTGATTCAAGGAGACAATCTGTGATAATTATGCTAACTGGTTTGATTGAGGGTAAAACAGAGTCAACAGTCTCCGGATACAATTTACTATCACTTGAACCACGAGAATATGTCAGTCGACTTAGCTGGAAAGTATTAATCAATATTTTTATAATGAAAAATATTAAATGACGGACAGTTTGTTTTATTGCTAGTAACATAAACTATGTCATTCGTCGTGGAGTGTTTACGTCCATAAGCAGAAAATCATATGCGTTTCTACAAATACCAAGGCTATTCTATTCTAGACAATATGAGACCTTTCATAAGTCATTTGAAATAAATTTGTTATTATACAATCATTTGAACAGATTTTACTAATATCTAGAGTTTGAAGAGATCGTTAAAATTGGTATTAGTTGGGAAACCACTAAAATCTAGGAAGCACTAGAAGGATGTGTTAATTTAGTACGAGACTCCTTAGCAGAGCCCATAACACGACCCCAACGAAGAAAGATAACTGTCAATATCGCGTATTGACGAGTAAATAAATGGATGATGGTCAAAGGGACCTGAAGGTCCAAAGCTCGATTTCCGGAGGAGGGTCGTGGATGTTTTGCTTCTTTTATACACCAGATTATTAATTATCTAGAACCACTTTCATTTTACATTGATCAATTCTCTTTTCTTTTTCTACTTTAATTCAATTGACTCTTTTTGTCTAGGTTGCGCTTTAATCAAATTTTAATGTTCAATTTATCGTATCATCTCATGTAACTAACTTTTCTATCAGTTTTGTTAGATATTTTAATCAGAATGTTGTCTTAGTCTCTGGTTAAAAATAAGTATTTTTACAACTTTGAGAATGAATTCATGAAAAGTTATTTCACAGAAATTTCTTCGTTAAAACATTGTCTACAGTATAAAGATTCTAAACAATAAAAAACAACAAGTATCACAGGGTAACTAATAAAAACGATGACAAATTAAGAATATTACTAACTCGAGTTTTATTTGAAATTCGATGCGCTTCTGATTTATAATCGTCCTCGAATTCATTTACTTAACAAAAAGTAAAATAATTAGTAGTGAGAATAATAATAATAGTAGCAATGATAATAATAATAATGAGGAAAGTACTTATCAGTGTATCTTTAATATAACATCAACGAAAGTATACTTATCAAAATTGACAGATCATTGATTGATTGTATGACAATGACAGCATACAATAATCTGTAATATATTTTACCGAATACAAGACCACATTCTCGGTTTTGAGAAACACTATTTTTGTGAAGGCATTTCAAATTGAAGTAGAAGTGAGATATAAACCTGGAAAGTTGAACCCCTGACCACTATACCACCGTCTCATATATTCTCATGAAATATTATCCTATATCATTCTTGAGCTATTTGAGTAATAAGTGGTAAACCTATTATTTATGAAAATCGTATCTAATTATGTTTGAAGATAAATTTATGTCACGAAATGAAACCAACCGCAGAATCCACATGAAAGGCTTAAATAAAACATTAACATTTCAGGCTTTTGATCGATGAAGTATTAGTTACTCAATTTCAGATTTTTATTTATACGCGATTCAATAAATAATAAGGATTTTTCAACCAGTATTATTGAATAATGATGTAAACTTGTAACGGAATACACCATCTTGATACCACAAACATGTTGACAAAATATTTCATTATCTCAACAAAACCATTTATCAGTTAGTTTACCAAACAGACAAGTTACATTATTAAAATAGTTTTCCTAAGTATCGTTTCTTTAATAAGTGTAAAGTGAGAATAAGAACAAAAATCAGAATAATAACAGTACCCTTTGATAAAAGAAACAGTTACATAATATGAAAATAATATGAATATAACCCCTAACATATCATAGAAAGTTTATTTGATGTGAAAAAATAGAAAATTTTTTTTATAAACTAACAATGATTGGAAGAAAGATATGAAAAGTACACAACAATAAGAGAAAGTCAATGGATTTCACTGAAGAAATAATGAGAAAATTCAACTTACATGACATTAAGGCAGAAATCCTATCTTGTTCCCCAAGAAGACGACGCTTTTTACTCGTAGTACACTATAAAGTAACATTTTTTCCAATATTTGAAATGATTATTTTTATAAACAACAGTAAAAAAATTCATTTGAGAAAAAGAGAACACGTTTTCTGTTGTATGATATAGCTAATTCGTAAAATCAAACACGTATAATCCACTTCAATTCTAAATGGATAAGAGACAGCAGTCTAATGCTACTGACAATAACTAAATACTGAACAAACAACTATAGAAAAGCATACATATAATGGTAAAAATGAGCACTTCTACTAAAATGTAAAAACTACGAAGAAACATGACTAACATCCTAGTAATTTTACATATTCGAATAATTAATGATACCATATACATACACTTCAATTATTTCAGTAGAATGATGGGAAAAAGTGCTCGAATACGTTTATTTCAACAGTTTGACAATAAGCAGAATAACTACACATCAACAAAACCCATAATTTCGTTTATTGAGCAAGAACAAATTTTTGCACTTGCTATTAGGATGAAGCGGCAGGTTTAGTGGTTAAGTTGTTCGACTTTTAGCCACTAAGCTTTAAGTTCGAGAAACAATTCACCTAGTCCGTTTGTAACAACTGGCAAGTACTATTAGCAGTCTTATGTAGAAAGTGTCCCAAAGTAAAATGTCAAGTGAACAAATTAAGTAAAAACTTAACTTTTTTTAATAAAAAATAATAATAATTCACCTTTACAGAGCACAGTTGTTGTACAGCCGATATAGATTGTGGAAAGGTACTGGATGAAGCAGTGACATTTATGGGAAGAGAAGGCAGATTAAAATTTATCGTCTTATTTTCAGAAAACGATGGACCTGAAATAAAAGTCAATAATAAACATAATTTCAAACATAACAATCGACCAAAAACAAAACCATAAAACTGATAGATCATAAACAAGAAAACAATATTCAATAGAGAAAGAACAAAGAAATGAACAGAATAGCATGAATTCATTTCATTTCAAAGTGTTCTCATCCGCTGCTTAAAACCAAAAATATTAAAAATCACTATTATTGCAAAGTTTACATAGTAATAACCGTAAAATTCGATTTATCTTATCATGGTGAGGTAATGAGACTGATGACTTATGATGAGTGTTGCAAATTAATCTCATATATCTGAGTGATTCCGGATCCTTAGACATAGTAACAAGAAACCTCAATGATAAAATAATAAATTGGTTGAATGGTAAAGTAATTGAATAGAAAAGGGGAATAAAATCGTTAAAGATATCCAGTTTCCCATTTCCAACATCAATTACATGTCATCAGTTTAACTACCTCACGATAATAATCTATATATAAAATTTCCAGTTAATACAATGTACAATTTCAAACACTACCAATATTTCATATTCTGGGATTTAGGCAGCGGATGAAAAACAAAAAAATAAAATAAATGCATGTTATTAAAATCAACAGTTAGTTAGTGATAATCAATATGAATAAAACAAGTCGTTCCTAACAAATAACACTCAACTGAACATCTACGAAAATATCTCAAAATTACCTTTCTCAACTATGGGCTCTGCTAACACAGACTCGCTCAATCTCAATGGGGAAAACGATTCTGAAAGTATACAAAAACAATTACACAAAATGTTACATACTCATCATCACATCGATAACAAACACTCCACTGTCACATTCACAGTAACATTGAATATAATCATCAACGCAAGCACCAATATGACAAGCGAAACACAACACCCACATTATCACATAGACAAATATCCTAAACAAAACAAATATCGACTTTCTTATTCAACCCTCCACCACATAAACACTCACTACTCACATCCACCAACCACATAGAAACTCAATATCACACTTACCACCACTCCCCACATTCCCTCTGACCGTGCCTCTTCTCCCACGCCGTCTACCCACCATCATCTACAATAGAAACAACAACAACAACAACAGAAACAATATTAATCGCAATCATAATCATAACCATACCAACAACATGTACAACAATCTAGCTTCACTCCTACACCACCACAACCACCACCACCACCACCACCACTACCATCAACGGAAATACAACAAAAACACACAACTATTACCATATAAATTTAACACTGAAAGCTTCACTAAAACCAAACTCACCGGGACAACCGCACCCACAGGCTCCACTGTTCCACCTGAAATTAAAAACACACAAGTTAATACTCTACAAATATTCGACAAAACACAACATTATACTTTCACCAAAACCACAGTGGTTCACCTCATCCAATAAAACAGTGCTCCACGTCGTCACACACATTCACTTCACCTACCACTTACTCACTCATTCATTCATTCACCACCACCAACACAACTCACACAATAAAAACACACAAATTAAACCCGATCAACACAATTACACTCACCGTTCCATGTAATGACATACAACCATGAATCTATCTGCTTAACGATCTAACACTACCAAGTCACAAGTGGCGTAACCCGGATCGGTCACTCAATTCAATCATGTACATCATAACGGAAATTCTTACCCAATCTAGCTGTTCTCTCGTCGGAAAACGACACACTCGTCTTCGCACATCACTAAACACTTATCACAACTAAAAAACATCGTAGGTACCACTCTACGAATCAACTCGTCAAACAAACAAACACACACACACACACGAACACACAAAATATCTCCATGTGACCAAGCAAATACTCAAAAGCAACATAACTATCACAATACTCAACACAACATCAATACTCATGAATCATGTCTCACACTAACAACAACAACAACAACAACAACAACAACCAACACTACCAAACGATTTGACAACAAATAAAATGTCAAAAATCAACAATTACCTCTGTCAGGAGAACTGATCGATCGAGAAGAAACTAGCGAATTCAAATCGCCATTCATTGACATCGATTTCTCTGAAAAAAATTCACCGATTAACAAACACACATCAGTTGAATCTGATACTATCACATCGAAACAATGAAAGGTTACTAAGGAAAGTTTCGGATGCATATTTTCTACAAATAACATCCAAAACATAAATATACAACTTCAACTCCCAACACAAACACACCAAACTCATCAAAACCAATATGTACACTTCTGCACAACCACATAAAACTCCATACATGTTTCAATGCACTCACCTTCTTCATCACCCTCCGTCAATTTCGGATCCATCGCCGTCAACACGCACACAGCTTTAGATTCACCCACTGTCAAAACAGAACACCCTGAAACGGTGCTCACATCTCCGTTCACTGATCCTAAAACAATACAACCCATAATCAATATCAATAAAACAAGTCGTTCCTAACAAATAACACTCAACTGAACATCTACGAAAATATCTCAAAATTACCTTTCTCAACTATGGGCTCTGCTAACACAGACTCGCTCAATCTCAATGGGGAAAACGATTCTGAAAGTATACAAAAACAATTACACAAAATGTTACATACTCATCATCACATCGATAACAAACACTCCACTGTCACATTCACAGTAGCATTGAATATAATCATCAACGCAAGCACCAATATGACAAGCGAAACACAACACCCACATTATCACATAGACAAATATCCTAAACAAAACAAATATCGACTTTCTTATTCAACCCTCCACCACATAAACACTCACTACTCACATCCACCAACCACATAGAAACTCAATATCACACTTACCACCACTCCCCACATTCCCTCTGACCGTGCCTCTTCTCCCACGCCGTCTACCCACCATCATCTACAATAGAAACAACAACAACAACAACAGAAACAATATTAATCGCAATCATAATCATAACCATACCAACAACATGTACAACAATCTAGCTTCACTCCTACACCACCACAACCACCACCACCACCACCACCACTACCATCAACGGAAATACAACAAAAACACACAACTATTACCATATAAATTTAACACTGAAAGCTTCACTAAAACCAAACTCACCGGGACAACCGCACCCACAGGCTCCACTGTTCCACCTGAAATTAAAAACACACAAGTTAATACTCTACAAATATTCGACAAAACACAACATTATACTTTCACCAAAACCACAGTGGTTCACCTCATCCAATAAAACAGTGCTCCACGTCGTCACACACATTCACTTCACCTACCACTTACTCACTCATTCATTCATTCACCACCACCAACACAACTCACACAATAAAAACACACAAATTAAACCCGATCAACACAATTACACTCACCGTTCCATGTAATGACATACAACCATGAATCTATCTGCTTAACGATCTAACACTACCAAGTCACAAGTGGCGTAACCCGGATCGGTCACTCAATTCAATCATGTACATCATAACGGAAATTCTTACCCAATCTAGCTGTTCTCTCGTCGGAAAACGACACACTCGTCTTCGCACATCACTAAACACTTATCACAACTAAAAAACATCGTAGGTACCACTCTACGAATCAACTCGTCAAACAAACAAACACACACACACACACGAACACACAAAATATCTCCATGTGACCAAGCAAATACTCAAAAGCAACATAACTATCACAATACTCAACACAACATCAATACTCATGAATCATGTCTCACACTAACAACAACAACAACAACAACAACCAACACTACCAAACGATTTGACAACAAATAAAATGTCAAAAATCAACAATTACCTCTGTCAGGAGAACTGATCGATCGAGAAGAAACTAGCGAATTCAAATCGCCATTCATTGACATCGATTTCTCTGAAAAAAATTCACCGATTAACAAGCACACATCAGTTGAATCTGATACTATCACATCGAAACAATGAAAGGTTACTAAGGAAAGTTTCGGATGCATATTTTCTACAAATAACATCCAAAACATAAATATACAACTTCAACTCCCAACACAAACACACCAAACTCATCAAAACCAATATGTACACTTCTGCACAACCACATAAAACTCCATACATGTTTCAATGCACTCACCTTCTTCATCACCCTCCGTCAATTTCGGATCCATCGCCGTCAACACGCACACAGCTTTAGATTCACCCACTGTCAAAACAGAACACCCTGAAACGGTGCTCACATCTCCGTTCACTGATCCTAAAACAATACAACCCATAATCAATATCAATAAAACAAGTCGTTCCTAACAAATAACACTCAACTGAACATCTACGAAAATATCTCAAAATTACCTTTCTCAACTATGGGCTCTGCTAACACAGACTCGCTCAATCTCAATGGGGAAAACGATTCTGAAAGTATACAAAAACAATTACACAAAATGTTACATACTCATCATCACATCGATAACAAACACTCCACTGTCACATTCACAGTAGCATTGAATATAATCATCAACGCAAGCACCAATATGACAAGCGAAACACAACACCCACATTATCACATAGACAAATATCCTAAACAAAACAAATATCGACTTTCTTATTCAACCCTCCACCACATAAACACTCACTACTCACATCCACCAACCACATAGAAACTCAATATCACACTTACCACCACTCCCCACATTCCCTCTGACCGTGCCTCTTCTCCCACGCCGTCTACCCACCATCATCTACAATAGAAACAACAACAACAACAACAGAAACAATATTAATCGCAATCATAATCATAACCATACCAACAACATGTACAACAATCTAGCTTCACTCCTACACCACCACAACCACCACCACCACCACCACCACCACTACCATCAACGGAAATACAACAAAAACACACAACTATTACCATATAAATTTAACACTGAAAGCTTCACTAAAACCAAACTCACCGGGACAACCGCACCCACAGGCTCCACTGTTCCACCTGAAATTAAAAACACACAAGTTAATACTCTACAAATATTCGACAAAACACAACATTATACTTTCACCAAAACCACGGTGGTTCACCTCATCCAATAAAACAGTGCTCCACGTCGTCACACACATTCACTTCACCTACCACTTACTCACTCATTCATTCATTCACCACCACCAACACAACTCACACAATAAAAACACACAAATTAAACCCGATCAACACAATTACACTCACCGTTCCATGTAATGACATACAACCATGAATCTATCTGCTTAACGATCTAACACTACCAAGTCACAAGTGGCGTAACCCGGATCGGTCACTCAATTCAATCATGTACATCATAACGGAAATTCTTACCCAATCTAGCTGTTCTCTCGTCGGAAAACGACACACTCGTCTTCGCACATCACTAAACACTTATCACAACTAAAAAACATCGTAGGTACCACTCTACGAATCAACTCGTCAAACAAACAAACACACACACACACACGAACACACAAAATATCTCCATGTGACCAAGCAAATACTCAAAAGCAACATAACTATCACAATACTCAACACAACATCAATACTCATGAATCATGTCTCACACTAACAACAACAACAACAACAACAACAACAACAACAACAACAACAACAACCAACACTACCAAACGATTTGACAACAAATAAAATGTCAAAAATCAACAATTACCTCTGTCAGGAGAACTGATCGATCGAGAAGAAACTAGCGAATTCAAATCGCCATTCATTGACATCGATTTCTCTGAAAAAAATTCACCGATTAACAAACACACATCAGTTGAATCTGATACTATCACATCGAAACAATGAAAGGTTACTAAGGAAAGTTTCGGATGCATATTTTCTACAAATAACATCCAAAACATAAATATACAACTTCAACTCCCAACACAAACACACCAAACTCATCAAAACCAATATGTACACTTCTGCACAACCACATAAAACTCCATACATGTTTCAATGCACTCACCTTCTTCATCACCCTCCGTCAATTTCGGATCCATCGCCGTCAACACGCACACAGCTTTAGATTCACCCACTGTCAAAACAGAACACCCTGAAACGGTGCTCACATCTCCGTTCACTGATCCTAAAACAATACAACCCATAATCAATATCAATAAAACAAGTCGTTCCTAACAAATAACACTCAACTGAACATCTACGAAAATATCTCAAAATTACCTTTCTCAACTATGGGCTCTGCTAACACAGACTCGCTCAATCTCAATGGGGAAAACGATTCTGAAAGTATACAAAAACAATTACACAAAATGTTACATACTCATCATCACATCGATAACAAACACTCCACTGTCACATTCACAGTAGCATTGAATATAATCATCAACGCAAGCACCAATATGACAAGCGAAACACAACACCCACATTATCACATAGACAAATATCCTAAACAAAACAAATATCGACTTTCTTATTCAACCCTCCACCACATAAACACTCACTACTCACATCCACCAACCACATAGAAACTCAATATCACACTTACCACCACTCCCCACATTCCCTCTGACCGTGCCTCTTCTCCCACGCCGTCTACCCACCATCATCTACAATAGAAACAACAACAACAACAACAGAAACAATATTAATCGCAATCATAATCATAACCATACCAACAACATGTACAACAATCTAGCTTCACTCCTACACCACCACAACCACCACCACCACCACCACCACCACTACCATCAACGGAAATACAACAAAAACACACAACTATTACCATATAAATTTAACACTGAAAGCTTCACTAAAACCAAACTCACCGGGACAACCGCACCCACAGGCTCCACTGTTCCACCTGAAATTAAAAACACACAAGTTAATACTCTACAAATATTCGACAAAACACAACATTATACTTTCACCAAAACCACAGTGGTTCACCTCATCCAATAAAACAGTGCTCCACGTCGTCACACACATTCACTTCACCTACCACTTACTCACTCATTCATTCATTCACCACCACCAACACAACTCACACAATAAAAACACACAAATTAAACCCGATCAACACAATTACACTCACCGTTCCATGTAATGACATACAACCATGAATCTATCTGCTTAACGATCTAACACTACCAAGTCACAAGTGGCGTAACCCGGATCGGTCACTCAATTCAATCATGTACATCATAACGGAAATTCTTACCCAATCTAGCTGTTCTCTCGTCGGAAAACGACACACTCGTCTTCGCACATCACTAAACACTTATCACAACTAAAAAACATCGTAGGTACCACTCTACGAATCAACTCGTCAAACAAACAAACACACACACACACACGAACACACAAAATATCTCCATGTGACCAAGCAAATACTCAAAAGCAACATAACTATCACAATACTCAACACAACATCAATACTCATGAATCATGTCTCACACTAACAACAACAACAACAACAACCAACACTACCAAACGATTTGACAACAAATAAAATGTCAAAAATCAACAATTACCTCTGTCAGGAGAACTGATCGATCGAGAAGAAACTAGCGAATTCAAATCGCCATTCATTGACATCGATTTCTCTGAAAAAAATTCACCGATTAACAAACACACATCAGTTGAATCTGATACTATCACATCGAAACAATGAAAGGTTACTAAGGAAAGTTTCGGATGCATATTTTCTACAAATAACATCCAAAACATAAATATACAACTTCAACTCCCAACACAAACACACCAAACTCATCAAAACCAATATGTACACTTCTGCACAACCACATAAAACTCCATACA